GCAATCTGTCCCATTTTGTAGATGAGAAAGCTGAGGCTCAGAGAAGAATTAACTTGCTCCAGATCAGAGTCAGTCTCATTTCCTGCAAAGCCTATGATCTGTTCAATATGACACCAGGCTTCATATTTGCTAGCAGAAACCTGCAGAGACCCTCTGTCCATGCAAGACTGGACCTTGGCAAACACCCCATATTCCTTTTCCCTATTCCCACTGAAGGTGGTGGGAATAGCTATTGTATTAGTTTCTTAGGGCTGCTTTAGCAAAGTACCACAGGCTGGGTGACTTAAAACAACAGAAATGTATTCTCCCATAGTTGTGGAAGCTAGAAGTCCAAAATCAAGATGTCTGCAGGACCATGCTCTCTCTGAAGGCTCTAGGGAAGACTCCATTCTGTACCTTTTTCTTAGCTTCTGTTGTTCGCTGGTGATCTTTGGCATTCCTTGTCTTGCAGCTGCATAAACTCCAATCTCTGCCTCCATCTTCATATGCCATTCTTCCCTCTACGTGTCTGTCTCTGTTTCTTCTCTTTTTTTTTTTTTTTTTTTGCGGTACGCAGGCCTCTCACGGCTGTGGCCTCTCCTGTTGCGGAGCACAGGCTCCGGACGTGCAGGCCCAGCAGCCATGACTCATGGGCCTAGCCACTCCGCGGTATGTAGGATCCTCCTGGACCGGGGCACGAACCCACGTCCCCTGCATCGGCAGGCGGACTCCCAACCACTGCGTCACCAGGGAAGCCCCCTCTTCTCCTCTTCTTATAAGGGTATATTGGATTAAGGACTCATCCTACTTCAGAATGACCTCACCTTACATATTAATTACATCTGCAAAGACCTTATTTCCAAATATGGTCACATTTACAGGTATCAGGGGTTAAGCCTTCAAAATACCTTTCGGAAGGACACAGTTCAACTCACAGTATCTATAATAGTCAGCAGGGGTCAGAATCCTCAAGTTGGATATCACCATGGTGACCCTTAGCTTCTTCAAAGAGAAGGTAAAACCCAAGGGCCCAGACGGTGGGGATAGGGGACAAGCAGTGGTGGGGAAAAGGGGAACATTTGGTCACTGTTTATGGGGCTGGACAGTTAAGCACTTTGATGTGGCATCAGAACAGTTCAGAAATCTGGTTCAGCCAGTCTTTACTTGCTCAGTCAACAGCTCTCTGTGGGCTTCCTGTGTTCCAAGATCTGGGTAGGGAGTAAGGCAGGCAGAATCCATTCAATCATGGCTTATGGTTTACTGGGGTGACTGACAACCAGAGGTTCACAATAATGAGGGCACAGTTACAAACTAAGGTCTGTGCTCTGACAGGAAGAAACCTGGTGTCACCAAGGAGACCTTCCTGTGAGTATATTTCCTTCTCTTTCTTCAATTGCCCTTCTCTCTGGGAGACCTGTAGGTATTTCAACATCTCAGTGAAATAGAGGGGACTAGAGAGTCCCTAGTGGCCAGTATGGATATAGCAATGATCCGAACTGCAGAACTATGGAGTGGGGGCTGGGACATGAAGGGAGCTGGTAGGGGAGATGGGTGTGGCAGGGTGGGAGCGTCTGACCCAGGTCTTCCCCCAACTGTATAGTGAACATGTCCTGGCACACTCATGGGCAGTGGACAAGAGCTTCTAAAGCTTTTACCAATTTGAAACTGTGGACCCCCCTACCTCACTCCCCTTCCCCACCAAAATCCATCTATTGTTTGATGCCAGGAAGGCAGGCTAAGTCCTGGCCAAGCTAGGGTTAAAGCCACAAGGAGAAACCCTTCTCTATCCTGGCTGTAATGGCAGTGAAATCCTACCTAGCCTGGGTAGCTCTCAAATCTGTCCCCATCTCTGTCCCCACTCCCACTGTCCCATCTCCTATCTCCCTGCAGTATATGGAATGCAGTCAGGCCCTTTCCAATCCACCTCCCACCTACACAGGTGCCAGAGGGATCCTTCTCAAACATCAATCAGACCAGGGCACTCCCTGGCTTCCACTCCCTGCCCCCTCCCCTTTATTCAGGGAGGCTCCTTGTGACTTAGCTCCCACCTGGTATTCCAGTCCCACCTGCCTCTTGCCATGCTTCCTTCAGACACTTGTGGCTGCCTCAACACCAGACAAGCATCACCTCTCTGTGTTCTGCCTGGAATTCCCTGTCCAGTCCTGTCCAGCTGGCTAATTCCTTCTGATCATTGGGGAACCAGCTCCATCAGCACCTCTGAGTGAATTAAATGCCTCTTCTCAGAGCTCCCTTTTCCCACTATCACTGCATTGTGCTGTAACTTTCTTTTTTCTCTCTCCTAGACTGGGACATCGTTGCGGCAGAAACAATGTCTGATTATTCTGATTCTTCCACCCCAGTCCCACCCTGTGCCTAGACTGAGACTTGGCATAATAATGAAGTCCCTCGAGGTCCAGTTGGTGGTCCACTGCCCATCTGACCACATGCTCTGGCCTTGGATGATACACATTTATGTTCCCAAATGGATTTTGATTGTGTGACGGGACAGTTTTGTGGGTGTGAGTCTTCACTGCCACCCCTAGCCTGGAAGTGCCCCAAGGCAGGGCCCAGGAAGCTCTTGGTTAGAGGCCACTATTGGAAAGATGAGGTCTCACGGTTGTGGTGGTGGTAGTGGAGTTTCCCACTCCCTCCCATTCTGCCACTAGTCAGTTCTCAGAGTGAGCGTCTCTGAGATGCTCCCCTTGCCACTCCTTGCCTTACTCCAGCACTTCTCAGGTTCCCACCTTAGCCTTGGGTGTGGGGATGTATAGGGATATCTGTCACCTTCCTTTGGAGCCTGCTCCTGAGTCAGCAGGGCCAGAGGGTCCAGTAAAGCAGGGGTGGGGAGCTCACAGGTGCTGGGTTCCATTGGCACCCATGAGCACCTATCAAAATCCTGGGAACTGAAGCTGCTGGGGTCGAGTAGAGGTGCACAAAAGAAAGCCAGTTTCATAACCTGCTTTCTAGCATGGGGGCAGAAACAGCCCACATGTGAACAGGTTAACGCTCTGAAGGTTGGGCAACAAAATGAAGGGGACTTACCTGACCCAAGGCATCAAAAAAGAAAGTCTCTTCTTGCATAGTCCTGGTGACCCGGCAATCGGGACTTCAGACACTGGTGGTCTTGGAAAGTTGGCCCTTTTCCAGAACCAAGACCAGTCTCTCTTAAGATCCTACCATGCAGGACCTCTTCCAAGTTTTATCATGTACTTTAGATGCAGACGCCCAGTGCCAGCCCAGGGCACCTTAGTTGTCAGGATAGTTTACGTTCTCTCCACACTTCTTGGGCCACCCCTGAGAGTCAGACAAGCACACCCAAACCCCTTGGCCCTCCTAGGGACTTATCAAGAACAAGAAATTGGGGAGGGCAACCAGTGTCAGAATCTGTATGGCAGGGCTCTCTGATCCAAAGCTGAAGCCGAGTTAGGGGGGTGGGGGTGGACTCCCCGAAGAGCCCCTTCTGTCAACTGCAGAAACCTACCTCTTGTTACCAGCAGGATTTATTTCAGGTTTCTGCCTACCAAGTGACTTACATACTTCCCCATCTCCTCCTTTGCAAGGATGCTCTTAAGTTGCAAGGGGGCAGGTCCCCTGAGATCCCAGGGCTATGTGCCCCCCGCCGCTGCCGCCCTACCTGCTAGAGTGCTTCCAGTACACAGCACTCTCTCCACCCTCCCACCTTACTTGGAGTTGGGCAGAAAGGCTTATAAGGCCATTATCTCTCAACAGACAGCTGTGCAGGGCTGGAGACAGCAGCTTATCAGGGAGCCTGCAGTGATTCACAACCCAAGTCCCAGCTTCTCTGCTGAATAGTAATTTCCAGCAGTGGATTTGCGCTCCGTCTCTCCTCCCCCTCTCCCAAGGGTGTGCTGTCCTTTCTCAGAGAGAGAAAGCAGTGAGGGGTAGATCCTATCCATGGGGATGGGGGGGCTCTGTGCCAGCTTTCTGGATAAGGCTGTCTATTGGCAGGAGGCTGCAGGTTTAGGGACCCCAGTTGGATCTGCCACCCTTGGCAGTGACAGGAGAGTTCATCGATGCTCACCTTCCTTCCCCATCCGGAAAAGCAATGTGCTGCTCCCTTTCCCTTAGTAGTAATGTGTAAGGTGAAAATGGTCCCCTTCTGGCCACAAGCCCTGAAGCTAGAGCCAGCCAGGGAGGGCTGAGAAAGAGGGAGAAGCCGGGGACTGGGTAATGTGCCCCCTGCACCATTTTGAAGCTGTCCAGTTTCTGTGTCTGACCCCTAAGACTCCAAAGGCTAAGGATACAAGCTGGAGGGGACTGAGACACAAGGGGGCAGACCAGAGCAGTCTCTGCACAGGCAACTGGTTAGGAAAAAACCCAGGGACAGAGCCATTTTTGTGTTTGTTTTATTGGAAGCAAGACTCTAGCTGTGGGGCTCAGGGGAGGAAGCATGGGAAGTTCTGTCCTGGGTCTCTCCCTCTGGGCCAGCATGGGGAAAGGGGGATGTTAAAAGAGCTAGAACCTATGGAGATGCCCCTGCCAGCATGATCTCAGGATGCTCCTTAAAAGCAGGGAAAGGGAAACTAGAAAGGAAACTGTGTCCTAGGTGAGGGGCACAACAGGCCACCCCCACAACTCATATCCGCTGCCCTCAGGCGTGGTTTCCAACCCCTTGCCCTCTGCTGACAGTGGTGGGGTGATTCCAGGAGCCTTCCTCAGCTTCCACCCTCCAGGCCCACTTCAAGAATCCTAGGTGCCTTTAACCCTTGGGGGTCCTGAGCAAGGCTCAAGAGTCCCACTGCCCACCATTCCCTCCCTGAGGAAGGTCCCCGTATGGTTCAGAAAAGCTGAAGGTGCAGTTCTGTGTTGTCAGTCCACATAGGTGAAGGAGCAACCCCACCACGAAGCTTCCCTGGGGTCCCCTTCTTGTCGCCTTGGGGTCCATGCTGCCAGGTCGTGGGTTCCAGAGTACCAAAGCACGAAAGGCTGGAGGTACATCTCAAGGTCGAAGCTCTGGGGGTAAGATCCAGCCCGCCTAGGTGGCCCAGAGGCTGGAGGTCTCAGGCAGTCTGGTCCTCTTCAGCAGCACCTGGCTCAGGTAGTGACCGCTTCGCGGAGCCTTCTCCAGCTGCGGGTTCCCCTAGACTCCTCTTGGACGTCGACGCAGCTGGCTGGGACGAGGGGCCAGGATGGGGGCTCGGGGGCTGGTAGCCGGGTTGGCGCGGATCCAGTGAATCCTTGGAAAGTAGGATGGCGAGGCTGGGCACGTTCTTAAGGACACTGAGACTGGCGGCTGGCTCGCCAGGCTTCTGACCTGGCGTGGGCTCCGGAGGGAGGCTCTGCCACACTTCGCGCACGCTCCGGTAGCGCAGCCGCGTGACCTGATGCAGACCCGCCAGGCGGCGCTTGAGGATCTCGGCGCACGTGACGGTCTTCGTGGTGGCCCGACCGCAGCCGCTGAAGACGATGGTGCGCGTGGCTGGCTGCGCCATGCTGGCGGTGGCGAAGGCCAGCAGGTTCCGGATCTTACTGCCCTCCTTGACCCGCATGTGCACGGCGCCCGGCGCCAGGTCTGCGAAGGGGCCCGAGCCCGGGCCGCCTCCCTCGTCCCCGCTCCCCACCGGCGCCTCCTCTGAGTGCACCTTACGGAAGTTCTCCATGCGCCGTCGTTGCCGGGACCGCGGGGACGCAGGCTTCGCCATTGGGCCGCCTCAGCCCCGGGGCTGCATGGCGGCCGGTTGCGTCTGGCAAGGGCCGGCCGGGGTAAGGGTGAGGGAGCTGCGTGGACGCTGGCGGGCGGGCTAGGACGGTGCGATCCTCGTCTTCCACTTCTCTCCACTGGGCGCTGCTCTACTCCGCGCTCTCCGCGCCTTTGGCTGAGGCCCCGCCTGAGAGCCTAGGAGCCCCGCCCCTACCGCCAGGCCCCGCCCCTAACTCAGCCAGCCCGGCTGGGGCCCCAGCCTCACCAGCCTCTCGGATCCAGTCCGGTCCTCAGCTACCCGGGCGGGGCGTGAGAGCTGCGCGCACCGTGGGGCGCCGTGGCAGCGCTAGGGGGTGACCTGTCAGGTGAAGTTTCCCTGTAATCACCATCAGCCCTCCCAGAGCCAACCCTGATAAACGGGCAACCTAAATAAAAACTGCGTCTGCAGGGCAAACGGCGATTCGACCCGGGTCCCCGAGCCCTTCCGCGTTTCAGCTGAAGGCCACCCCTTGTCCCCTCCCAAGGAGAGATTTCAAAGCGGCCTGCTGGGGGCTGCACCTCTTTCTCCCACTCCTCAGTGGAACCCCCCCACCCCCACCTTCGTCCCTTCGGCTCCCGAGCCGCTATTCTCCACTCAAGGACAGCCCTGTGCACCGTCAGCAGAGTGTGGGAGGCGCTGTCTCTGGCTCCGCTCCGCGCCTGCCTTCGAGGACTACGTCGCGGCGTGGTCCTCGCAGGGCAGCCGGAGACTGAGGTCTCAGCCTCGCCGTGCCTGACTGGGGCTGGAGGCTCCTGGACGCCCGCACACCCCTAGGGTGTGAGGACTGAGGCTCTGGGCCAGGCTGTTCTCTGAGATGAATGGGAAGAGAGCAAGGAGACCTTTTCTCAAGGGGAGTTAAGCTCCCTCCATCCATGCCTGAAAGTCGAGTATTAGGGTTGCATGCTTTAGGGTAAGCCAGGCATTGTTCCCTGCTAAAGTGGGTCCCCCTTTTTCTCAAGTGGAATTTGTTGTTAGCCTGGCTCGCTGAGACCCAGCAGGGTCCTTTTTCAGAAAGGAGACTGGGTGAGGGCAGGTTGTGAGAGAGAAGGGAGGTAGGTGGGAAGTTGAAGCCCCGGGGGCATTATGAAGCTACTGGGTGCCCCTCCCCGGGAACTCCGCAGGACTGAAGGAGTGGCCCCGGATCTCCTGCCAGGAGAGATGAACAGTGAAGGGAGAGGTGAAGTTGGGGTTGAAGGACTGCTGATGAGAGGGAGGGGGTTTGAGAAGAAGCTGGACCCTCCCTAGAGCTGCCCTAGCGTCTCGCTCTTCATCCTTCCACCCCCTCGCGCACGCACAGAACCGAGAGTGGGCCAGACCTGATCTGGCGGGAGTGACTACAACGGGGCTTGGCGGGGAGGAGCGCAGAGAGCTGCGGCGGGCGGGAAGCCCTTGAAGTGCTGGGGGCATGACAGTGCCCGGGGGAGCTGGGCCCCAGTCTTGATATGGGGCTGCCGGGGTCCCCCTCCCTCCCCTCGCGTCCTCCTCAGCATCTTATATCTCCCAGCTCTCATCTTATATCTCCCAGCCTTCCTGTTTGGAACCCGGGGCTGACCCCATTACCACCCCTTGGGAGTGACTGGAGCAGGTGGACCTTTGAGCCCCAGCGTACGAATGACCAACCCCCTCTCGGATCTTCTGCTCGCATTCTGGGATCAAGGGCCCTCGAGGTCGCGTTCCCCTCGGAACCTGTATTTCCGTCTCGCCAGCTCCCGCGGGCCCCACAAGGAGCAGCCGTAGGGGTCGGAGGCACAGCAGTCCGGAGAAGACACAAGAGTCTGCAGCGCGTGGCGGGGCGCAGGGAACCTCAAGCTTTGTAAGACTCGGGCAGTTGTGGGACTTAAAGGGCATCAGCCTCTCTAGGCCTGAGAAAAAGTCCCCGAACAGCTGGAATCTATGTTCGAATGGGTTGGTTAGGGAAGAAGCGACCTCTCCATCCATGCAGGTATGCAAGCCTAGGCTGAACGTTCACTTGGAGGGGATTACGCGGGGGTCTGCAGTTTGGAGGAAGGGGCCTGGGAGCTCCCGGTTTACGTCGGGTGAGAGTGAGGCCGTTATGCGTCTGCCTGAGTTGGCTCTGGAAAGCGCCCCACCGCCATCCCCCTCCACTGTCGCCAGCTGTGGAAGTCTCGATTCACTTCGCTCCCCAGTCAGTGAAGGGAGACCACGGAAAAGGCCCGCATCCCCTCCCGTCGCTCCCCTCCACTTCCCAGCTCCCTCTGCAGCACTTAAAATGTAAATGTACTCCGTGATTAGCCGCCGGGTCGCTAATTACCGCTGAAGCCATTCATTACACTGTCAGCGCGCGTCGTAGCCAGCCAGCTGTGCGGTCCTGCCGGGCCGCGGAGTGGCAGGGCCCGGTGGGGAACGAGTGAGGGATGGGAGGGGGGCGGGGGACTCGAGGAGGGGAGCGGAAAGATTTGAGGCGGGGAGGAACTGTGAATGAGGGGAGCGAGGTTGGCAGAGAGGACGCGAGGGCGGGAAAGGGGCCAGTGTGCTCGATGGTGACGTGCGGGAGCAGGGCGGGGAGAGCGGAGAAATGCACAAGGCAGTTAGGAATGGAGGCGAAGGAGAGGTAGCGAGGATAGCTGGGGAAGGGGGCGCTGTGATAGAGAAACCGGGATGAGGAGAGGGGCGAAGGCAGGATGCGCTGGGGGAGGCAGGGAGGAACCGGGAGGACAGGGCGGAAGAGGTTGGGAGGGGAGTAGAGGGCTCAAATCTGGGAACGTGGGTAAATAAATGTGAGCATCTGTGGCGCACACTCCGCGACAGTTATAAACGTGGACAGTCAAGACTTTCTGTTAAAAAAGTCGGGTGGCAGCTATCCACACAGTAGGACCACAAGTATTTTCTTTTAAAGTTAGGGAGTCTGTTTCCGTGTGTGCATGTTTATAGATGTAAATGTATTTTTAAAATAATTTAAAAACATCTGCAAGAAAATAGCACACTGCATCTGTTAACCTCTGAAGCCGCATTTTGTGGGCCTAAGGAAAGAACTACTAAATATGAATACAAAATTAAGCCCAGAGTTTTAGAACAGTCTGTGTAAGTGAGGTCCTGACCTTGAAGCCTGAGCTTCATTAGTTTCTTTTTGCCTCTTTGTGACCTTGGGCAATTTGCTTAATCCTTACGCCTTGGTTTTCTTAGCTGTAAAATGGGGCTAATACAGGAACCTGCCTCATAAAGTGGTTGTGAGACACATAACAGTATTAGAACCTTGGCTGGTAAGTTCTCAGGAAATGTTGGCTAATGTTATTTTTCATACATTATTTGTGATTAAAATAAATCTTAATAATTTAAAAAGGGAGGGGGAGGAAGAAAGCTGGTGAAAAGGAAAAGAAAAGGGCAAAGCCTTGGAAATAACAGTTTTCCTAATATGTTGGGGACTAGTGAGTGGCAAAGTAGACTCCTTTCACCCTCCAAGGAGGTGGAGGGGTGACTAGGCTGGAGTCCAAGCCTCGCCAATGCAGCACCAGCCCCTGATCTGCAACGGGACCTTTCCAGCAGTACATCCCGCCTCTCGTGGACAAGTCGCCTGTCACCCCAATACTGGGAGAAGATCCCTGGTGCAGGGCAGGTCTCTTCCTCCTCTGTCTCCAGTGGCAGGAAGAGGATGGGGATCCCCTAAAACTCCTGGTCCTAGTCCCAGCTTGTCCAGGCAGGGGCTTGGGGGGATGCAAAGGAGTCAGAAACTAGAAAGTTAGAGAGAGCCAGAGGGAGGTCAGATTTATCAGGCACCCACCAAGTGCCCAGCATTGGGCCAGGTACTCTCACATCTATTCCCTGATTTAACCTTTGAAATCTTCCTTTCTATCATTGTTTGACAGATGTGGAAACTGAAGCACGGAGAGATTAAGTAACTGGCCCAATAATACCACAGCTAGAAAGCAGCAATCACAGATACCTGAATGCAGGTGTTCTACCTCACCTGAGTTTAAGAAAAAAAGAAACTTCTTAATGATTTGAGCTCCCCAGTAAACGTGTGAGTTGGTTTTGGGGAGAGAGGCAGTTCCTACAGTGGGGAAGATGTATTGGTTAGCTATTGCTGCATAAAAATTACCCCAAAACTCAGTAGCTTAAAATAAAAACATTCATTCTCTTACCCAGTTTTTGAGGGCTAGAAATCCAAGAGCAGCTTATAGTGGTGGTTCTAGCTCAGGGCCTCTCATGAGGTTGCAGCCAAGATGTCAGCTGGGTCTGGAGCATCTGCTCTCAAGCTTACTCACATGTTGGTCAGAGGCTTCTGTTCCTTATCACATGGATCTCTCCATAGATCTCATGACAAGCAGCTGGCTTCCCCTGGAGCTGAGAGAGAGGGGGGAAGAGAAAGGGAGGGAGGGAGAGAGAGAGAGAGAGAGAGAGAGAGAGAGAGAACAAGCATGAAGCCACAATGCCTTTTATGGCCCCACCTCCTCTGAAGGGGAATCTGGTTCCAATTCTTGAAGGGAGCAGTATCAAAGAATTTGTAGACATTTCAAAACCACAACAGAAGGGGAATGTTTGGGAGGCAAATTCAGGAGGAGAAGGAATCAGGACTCAACATAGCGAAGCAAATACGTGGAAAGACTTTGAATCAGGAGAGCTGGATTTATTTGTTTATTGTTAAATGGACGTAAGAGTGACAACTTTTCCGAGATTGTTTTTGGTCATGGGCATAAGAGCAGTCACTGCTCTACAGGGCTCTCCTGGAGGTTGAGTAGGATTATGGCTATCTGAGCTCTTTGTAAATTTAACACTGCTAGGCAATGATGCCTGGAGGTGAGCGTGGCCTGGGAGAGAGTTCTGCTATAACAGACAGGTACCTCCTCCATTAGACTGAGTCTGGGGCCCTGGACCAGTGCTCTGATTCTAGCTCGCCATCCTTGTCTCCGCCATAGTCCAGCCTCCTCACCATGTTTCACTTCCATCAATGCTTTTCCCGT